TATACGTTTATCAATAAAACTTTGAAAAAAAAAAAGAAAAAAGAAAAAAATAAAATAAAATAGCTTAGTAAAAAAAAAAATACTAGGCAAAGCTTAACACACATCTATACTGGTGACATTCATTTAATTTACTTACTGGGTTCACTCACTACCAACATCTATCATTACTTATGAAGTATGTAATGACAAATTGGGTTTTTCTAAAGTGTTCATGTAAAATTAAATTGAAGATATTCACTGGCAGTAGTATAGAAAGAAAGAATGGGAGGAAGGGAGGGAGAGAGGAAGGGACGGAGGAACAGAGGGAGGGAGGGAGGGAGGGAGGAGTTGGGAGGAAGGGAAGATATAAAAAAGGTTAACATAAATAGCTTCCATAAATGCAACATACAACAAATTACTAGACTGACATTGTTTATCATTTGCTAAAGTTCAGTAGATGTCATACTGTCAACTGTCTGAATTCTGCTACTTAGAAAGTATCCTGAAGTACTTTAATTTTGAAAATCCAAAAAGTTTTAATTTTGTATCATAGTATTCTTTTCCTCAAAAACCCTTTTCTTTGTACAGTTATTGGATTTACTCTTACTGAAGTCTAGAAGTTATTTATGCAACGCATAATATGAGTCACAAAGTTTTTTGTAAATTTGCATTCTTCCTTAGACTATATATGGCTGGAATTTTATTTCTGCCATGAATACTTTTTAAAATATATTTTTAGGCACTGGAGATATAACTCAGCAGCATAGTGACTACCTGGCAAGTATAGGTAGTGAGTTTGATTCCTGCTATCAAATACATATATATCTCTTCTTGTAAATTTGTAGTGAAATCTTATCATTCCTACTGTGGACATCAAAAATCAAAAAAGCCTTTATTACACTAAAATTTTTAAAAATTCTCCCTTGATTTCAAGTACTTTGAACATATCAGTTTCATATTTAAAGTTGGAATTTTTTAATATATGAAATATAAATCCAACTTCACTTTTTATACTACCCAAGTGTTCTACCCTTCTGTTGTTGTTCTACCATTTTTTAATAAATAAACCACATTCTGCCCACTGAGTCTAAATGCCACCTCTACCCTTTCCTGGAGTCCCACGCCTGGGCCTGCCTCCAGCCTCTTTTCTGCTCTGCCGCCCACCTAGTTACATGCCAGCGCCGAACAGCTTTTGCGGCTGGCCTTGCTCCCTTCTCATATGCACTTTGGACTGAGCTATTCAATTTGTTTAATCCCAGCAATCTAAGGTTGAATTAAATTTGTAAAACTAGAATGTGTACATAAGAGCATAAATGTTCCTGTGTTTTACTTTTTCTGATGAAATACTAAAGTTTTATTTTCAATACAAAGTTTTGGATTTGTGTCCTGTGTGTTTCTTGTCTATGGTGGCTATCTTCTCCCTTTTGTTCTGACACCATGTGGGGCCTTTTCCACTGCATCACTCATGGCTGTGACTTATGTAAATGAAAGCTTTAGGTCTCTGGGATTCATTTCAGACCCAGAGACTTGTTATAAAATGGAAGCCCAGAAAGCCTGCTGAGGGTAAGTCTGGCCTAATGCATCCCCCGCACTATGTCATCAATCCCAGACAAAAACAATACCACAATTTTCTTTCAAAGAGGTTAAGAAATCCTGTCTTTTCATAGTATGTAATTCATTTTCCTCTCAATAAAATCTCTTCTTTTCCTCACACATAAAAAAAGCCTGGGCTGGGGATACAGCTTAGAGGTGCAGTGTCTGTCTGGCAAGCGGGAGGCCCTGAGTTAAGATTCAGTACCAAAAAACAAAATGGACAAAAGATTAATCACATGCTGTACAAAATTCTGCTATAGATTCGGGACCTGAAAGCCACTGTCATGATACCATTCCAATTAATATCTAAGTTCACTGAGCTCTGGTAACAAGTAAAGAAAGTACCTGATATAGACAATAGCATTTCAGTTGTGATATGCGTGAAAATCTGTAAGTTTTTCTAAAGTTTGGTCAATTACAAAGTGGAGTCAATAATTAGTAGTCCACAGTCTGTGACAGAGATAACTTTAAGGTTCTGACACTGTCATAAAATATGAAACACAGGAGTTTAGCAAATCATCTGTAAGCTATTTATATCTTTTTTTCTGCTTTCTCTTTTTCTTATGCTGGGCATTGATCTCAGGGCCCGCCTGTGCTAGGTAAGCACTCTACCACTGAGCTACATTCCCAGTATTCCTGGTCCTTTTTATTTCATTTTGAGACCGAATCTCACTAAGTTGCCCAGCCTGGCCTTAGACTTGCAATACTCCTGCCTCAACCTCCTAAGTAGCTGAGATTACAGAACTGCACGCTGAGTGACCTTTTTCTTCTTAATTTTTAATCAAATGGGACATCTTTTTAAAAAACTCATTAAGGGTAGGAGGTGGTGGTGGCACATGCCTGCAATCCCAGAACTTGGAAGACTCAAGCAGGAGAACTGTTGCAAGTTTGAGACCAGCCTGTGTTACAAAGTGACCTCAAGGCCAGCTTAAATTGCATAGCGTGACTCTGTCTCAAAAAAAAGAAACAAAAACAACCTCATTAAGTAACTCTCCCAAATTACAAAGAGGAAATAAAACCATATACATTCAGATCAATACCTAGTAAGTGAATCTTAATGAAACATATACCATCAACTTCATAGAAAAACTAAGCAAGGGGCTGGTGAGATGGCTCAGTGGTCTAAAGCACCTACTTAGAACAAGCTTAGCAAAGCCCAGGGACCGCGGTTCAATCCCCCAGCACCACATGCCAGCCAGCCCGCCCCCTGGTGGACTGAGCTGGCCACACACACACACACACACACACATAAGTAAATAAAATTAAAAAAAAAAAGAAAAACTAAGCAAACGACATGGTCTTTGCTGTTACTCAGATGAGTCATTATCCAATAGTTTTGAATGCCATAAGCCTATAAAAGATGTTAAACGGAATAATTTTAGATTTACGCAAAAAGACGTGTTATGTACATGTACCAACTCTTTACAATGAATATAGTGAGATTATACACTACAAACATGTACTGTACTAAGAAAATTTTTAAAATAAAATTAATACAGTAATTCTATTTCTAAAGAACTTGCCAACCTTTTTCCTAAGGACTTAAATGTTACCATCCTGTTTGTTTTATTACTTTCTTTTTTTTTAATTCATTAATTAATTTATTTATTTTGTGTGTGGCCAGCTCAGCCCACCAGGGGGTGGGGCTGGCTGGCATGTGGTACTGGGGGATTGAACCGTGGTCCCTGTGCTTTGCTTAGCTTAGCTTGTTCTAAGTAGGTGCTTTAGACCACTGAGCCATCTCATCAACCCCCTTTTTTTTTTTAATTTATTTATTTATTTTGTGTTATTACTTTCTTAAACTTCTAAGCACATGTCTATGTCACAGTGAGCTCACATTAACCTGAAGGTTAACTTTACCTCAGACTAGAACATTCACTAGTAGTTTGGACAGGGTAAAATTATTCCAAACATCTAAAGGCTGGGGAGCAATCAGCATCTGCCTGGCAAGCGCAAGAACTGGGTCCAATCCCTGGCACCACATGCCATGCCAGTCTCAGAACTGGAGGTGGTGGTGCACGCCTGTAATCCCAGCGCTGGGGAGACTGAGACAGGAAGATCACTACAAATCTGAGCTGTGTAGTGAGACCCTGTACCAAATAAGTAAATAGTTAATTAATTAAAGATAACACAGCTTTCCAGTAGAAATCTAGTGATTTTCAGACCTTGGGTAAAAAGTTGTGTGTAGGGCAGGGAGATGGCTCAGTAGAACAAGGGCTTGCCTGGCAAGCGCAAGGGCCTGAGTTCAATCTCCGGTTCTGCCAAAAAACAAACAAACAAACAAACCTGTGTGTATCACAAAAAGAAAAAAAAGTGTGTTTGTATTCAAATGTAGAACACTAGAAAGGCATAGAGTCTTACACGCTCCTCACTAGTCTAAGTCACTCTTCCAATTTGCCAAGTTCCATTCTCAAGAGCTCCTCAGCAAGCCTGGTGGGGCCAGTCAGTGTTCCTTAACCACTGGCAAGGTTTGAGTTAAAGCAGCTTACTCTAGGAAGTGACGTAATTCAAACAAGCACAACAATGACATCTTTCTATGCTACATTCCTTTTTTTTTTTTTTTTTTTTTTTTGCGGAATCGGGGATTGAACTCAAGCCCTTGCACTTGCCAGGGAAGCGCTTATTCTACTGAGCCATCTCCCCAGCCCTGTTCTATGCTACAAAGAGATACATTTCATACATTTCATGTCAACTAAAAGATCATGTAAATTATGGTGTAATTTTTTTCTTAACATAGAAAAATAAATCACTGCTAGCCACATAAGAAGAGCACTTCACAAAAACTAAAAGATTAGTTCTACTCACTGCTGGTCTGCGGGGTTCGCCAGGCAGTTGTGGAGGATAAACAATTTTATTCTTTTTCTCCCACTTGCGAGAAATGTCAAGAGGAGCACTCGTGTGGATGTGTGACTGGGGCGAAGCGCTGTGCGATGGGAGAAGCCTGAAAAAAAAGAGCCTTTTTAGAACCTTTTGGCAAACTACGTATCTTTGGAAACACATCTGACCAGAATCACAAGCAAAAATCTGCCCAAAGTATTCATTAATAAGGATTATCTTTTTATGAAACATGACAAAGGGAAGTTACTGGAGGCTAAGATGACTGAGAAGTTAGAAACTCAGGGGAGTCAAGCAGTACGTGGCTACTGGGCCAGGATCTTCCACTCTGACTGAACAATAAATGCTGAGTTCACATGCAGGTCAGGGCACTCGCAAAAAAATTCAAGACATACTGAATCCCCAATCTGACCTATGGAGTCGCCCAACTTTGCAGAGTTAGATAAACAAATATACAATACAATTAATTAGAGGGTAGCATAAAACCACCTATACTGAAAATAAAGGACACAGATGGGAGAGGATTTTGGGGATGCTTCAGGCGAATCTTGAAAAAGACCCAGAGGATGGGGCGTACATTCCCACCAATGGCAAACACAGGGGCAGCAGCATCTACACCAGAGCAAGAGATAAGAAGCAACCTTAGAGGTCTGACTGAACAAGGAATCGCTTAGATACTAGGAAACACCAGAAAAGTGCAACCAGAGGATTTCTGTCCATCCAAATTAACGGGCTGACACCTGATGATGAAGAGCTGAAATTCACTATGCCTTGATCCACTCCAGTGCAAATGCCCGTTCTCCCTTACCACCTTCCCAGCATCTGCTGCACCTCTTCATCACTGAATAAAACGATCACAGAACAATGTTATAGAGTCTATCTTAACCTCCTGCTCATCTTGTCCCCAGGGCCTACAGATGTGACCCATGAAATGCTGCTCACATGCCTACTTGCCTCCATTTAACTGTTACCATCCAAGTTTGGGGATTGTTCTCTTTCAGAACTACATGAACAGCTTCTCTCAACTGATTTCTCTTCCATCATCATCCCCAGTAGAGCCTAGCCTTCTCTCCCTGCACACCAAAGGAATTACCTTTCTGTAATACAGGAGATGACTGTATTAAAAAAAATGTAAATACTTTATCACAGAAGACGCATAGCCATTAATTCCCCTCACACTATGCCCCCTCACCTCAAGCACTTATTTCATCCCCTTTGCCTTTTCTAAAGCACTTCTGGAAGTCCTTTCTCATGGACATCATTAGCAGTGCTGCTGCAGCTGCTTCAATGTCCTGTGTTGATTCCAAGCCTTTACCTTTCACAGTCGTCTTAACTTTGGAGAAGAGTCCAAAGTCCTGCGGTGCTTGGTAGTGAGTAAGGTGGGTGAGGGCCCACCAGTCATCTCATGAGCCCGCCTTTCCTTGAACAGTACTCAGCAGCAGAACTCACTGTAGTGATCATTCCTTATAAAGACACAAAACGGATTTACACAGTTGCTTCATTAAGTGGCAAGAGCAATGGAAGAACTATGTTTAAAGTGATGAAGTGGATTTTGAAGGGGATTAACAGTAATGTGTGTTTCACTGCAAAAAAATTTAATTTACTGTATTTATTGATCACCCCTTTACTGAGCTACTAATGTCAAACTACTGAGATGAAATAAATGTGGTATTTTAGTTCTGCTTGCATTGTCACTGACAACTGGGACTCAGTGTCAAGCAAGGAGACACCTCTGTAGGAAGAAGAGAAGTTCAAGAAGCAATGCTCCCTAGAACAATGGCCACCCTGGTACCACATTATGACCTTGAATGCTGTTTCCTACTGAAAAGAACCAGACTTGCAGGAGAAACAGCTAACCACAGAGCTTGGGTAAAACACATGAGAGAAGAGCAAGGAATATTTTACCATATGAGAAAGCCAGGACCCAGGAAGCCACCTTGTGGGCACCCACAGAGCAAAGACGGGATAATGAATGCTTGGGTTACCAAGAAGTAATAACTGCAGTCAGTTAAACATATTAGATGTTGAAATCCCTGAGACTAAAGAGAAAAAAAAATTATTTCACAAATGATATCACTGGTCGAGTAGATTTCCCATGGCTCAGCACAGCGCTGGTCCTTCCACCACAGCAACCATTGAAGAACAGTAGCCATGACCCTCTGCTATCCCATGGTCGTGGGCCTCAGCAAGTGCCACAAGGCGACTAAGAATGTGAGCAAACCAAGGCCCGGCCACCATCGTGGACAGCTCACCAAACACACCAAGTTCGTGCAGGACATGATCCCAGAGTGTGCGGCTTCGCCCCCTAGGAGCAAGCAGTGTGCCATGGAGCTGCTCAAGGTCTCCAAGGACAAACACGCCCTCAAGTTCATCAAGGAAAGGGTAGGGATGCACATCCACACCAAGAGGAAGTATGAGGAGCTGAGCAACATGCTAGCCGCCAAGAGGAAGGTAGCTGCCAAGGACTGAGCCCTTCTGGAATAAAGCTTTGCAGAAAGTTAAAAAAAAAAAAAAAGATATCACTAAATGGCCAACAGATAAGGAGTTAGGCTTATACGAAGTTAGTAATTAAGAAATAACAATTACAGTAGCATCATTCTGTGATCTGTAATTAATTAATGGGTAAAGAAGGCAGATTAAAAAAAAAAAAAAAAGCAGACTAGAAATCATCCATGAAGTATTCTTTCACATAAGAAGGCTGCAGAGATGGCGATGATGGCAGAGGTGCCAGAGGAGGAAGAAGAGGAGGAGAAAGAGCAGAAGCAGCTGCTGAACTGATCAATCTTCTAGGTTCAATACATGAACACAGAGAAAAAGAAACACGGTACATAATATCATGGGGGTACACACAGCAAAATCGAAGCTCTGATGACCTCTTTAAAATACTGTCTCTGCCAGGGAGATGGCTCAGTGGAATAAGCGCTTCCCTGGCAAGCGCAAGGGCCTGAGTTCAATCCCCGGTTCCGCAAAAAAAAAAAAAAAAATACTGTCTCCAACAAATAAATGACCAGGAGAAAAAAGGAAAGAAGAGAATTGATTAAAGTTCTTACAGATTAAAAGACTTAAGGGAAATGTTAAGTTTCCATACGTGAACTGTTATAATTTCTACAGTATAGTAGCTAGGAAGCCACTGGAAATGTAAATATCAACCAAAAATGTACTTTCAAACAACACACAGTAAAAATGATATAGCATAGAAGATTATGAATAAACTAGTACAGTGTACTTTGTTCCAAAATATGACAAAGAGGTCAGGGGACATAGCTCAGCCACAGAGCACTTGCCTAGCATGTCAGCAGGTCAGGCCGTTGATTCAACCCTCAGGACTTAAAACATGATGCCAGAGAGTAAAGGATCACAGATGAGGATGGCTGTGAGAATTAATGAAGCTGGGTGTGGGGACACGGGTTCATCACACTGTCTACTTTTACATACATCCGAGCATTATCCAATTAACAAGTTAACACAAACTCTGGTATTTCTGCACTGCCCAAACTATCGAGTCCAATATCCTCAGCATGATACAGGAGGCGCTTCATCATCAACCTGCATCTCTCTTTCTTGGCCTTATTCCCTTGAGGGCCTACCCAAGTAAGTGTCTATGAGGTGTATACTTCATATCCTCATGCCCTTACTCATGTTTTCTCCTCCCTTACCATCTCTTGAATGAAAAACCTTCTGTTAAATTTGAGTTCAAATGTCACCCTGTGTGAAGCACCACCTGGTCCCTTCTCCGTGACAGGAACTCCCCTACACTGTGAATACTTTGTGCTTGCCAACCATCAGCAATGACTTGCACCACAGAACCATGGTACCACTCGACAGTATAGCACTTGGCTCCTACAGGGCTATGCCAGAATGAGTCCTTGTACTAGAAGAGCAAGGGTCAAGCAACTTGGAGACTAGTCTGTTCTAGCACCAAGGTCAATGAGCAAGCATGTAACACCAACTTAAACACTCACAGTGGCTGTATTTTGGCAGATCCACCCTATCTAGCTACCTCCCACCCACCTACCTACCTATCTATATAAAACTTGGGGGCCGGCCAGACAGCTCAGCAGACTAAAGCACCTATTTAGGCAGTTGCAGGGACTGGGGTTTGATCCCCCGCCGGCTGTGCAGGCCCCACCCCCGGGGCACACTGAGACAGCAATTGAGACTGGCCGTGGTGGCACGCACCTGTAATCCCAGCACTTGGGTGGCTGAAAAACAGGAGGATTACTATGAGTCGGATCTACACAGTGAGATCCTGTACATCCTGTACTAAATACATTAAAAAAAAAAAAAAAAAAAAAAAAACTTGGATGACAGACCTGGTGCAGCATTTTGTTTTTTTAGTCCTCAAATCATCCAGACTATGGAATCAAACAATCTTTTTTCTCTTTAGTGAATTATTTCTTCTTCTTTACCTCATTTACCATCTCATATTCCAATATTAAAACCAGGACCATCAAAATACATAAGAAAATCTGTACCTTTGCCACGCACATTTACTTTCCAATGTTTTACATGAAAAATACACAAGAAGGATACCAGATATCAAGCGAGCAGAGCTCTTTAATGAGGTGGTGAGGGCAGAAGCTGTGCAGTCCTGCAGACCTGAGTCCAAATCTCTACTCTCTAATTTACTTCATGAATGGCCTGGGAGAAGCCACATAACTATCCAGACCTCAATTTTGCCATCAGTGAATAAAAAAACAATAGTTACTTCACACAGTCTGTAAGAGGCTCACATGAGATACCACAAGTATAATTCTTGACCTGACACCTACATGGGCGCAATGAATTTCATACATAATTACTTGAATAAAGAGAAAAAAAAACTGGTTTTATGCGTGGATTAGTAAAATACCCAGTGTCCGTGTTCTCTGGACATGCTGAACTCTGATGGCTAATGAGCACATCTGTATATGCGTCTTACACAGCACATCTTAGTTCTCTACATTTTCCCTTCCCTTCCCCTCCTCTCCCTCCTCCAGGTAGCTACTGTATTTTAAAATTCGGCCCTCTGAACAGTTTTCCTGTGTCCCCTCAGAACATATCCTGAGCTACACACTTCATATTACATGCGATCACGAGCCTCTACATTTCTCCACAGCTCCAATT